AAAAAATGGATGCATTGGACTTAATCAAATAAATTTTTTATGTCTCAAAGAATACATCAAAAAGGTGAAATTACATCCCACTTCTGATAAAGAACTTGTTTTTTTTTTAAGAGTGAAATTACAGCCCATTTCTGACTAAGAACTGGTATCTACAATATATATTTAATTAGTACTGCTCAAATATAAGAAACTAATAACCTAATTAAAAATGAGAGAAAGATCTGAGAATACATTACTCAAAAGATAAGCAGATGTCTAATAAATAAACTAAGAGATGATCAACATCATATGTCATCAGGGAAATGCAAATAGAATCTGTATTGAGATACCACTTCACATCACTGGGATGGCAAAATAAAAAAGGTAATAACAATTTTTGGTGAGAATGTGGAGAAATTGGAAACCTTATGTGTTACTGGTAGAAATGTAAAATGGCACAGCTGTTTTGTAAAATAGCCTGGCAATTCCTCAGAAAGTTAAATTTAAAATTGTGTTTGACTCAATGATTTCTTCTCCAAAGTACACACCTCCCAAATGGAAGATGGATGTCCAAACAAAAAGGTGGAGTCACATGTTTTTTTCAGCATTATTCATAATAGCCAACAGGTGGAAACAGTACATGTCTATCAACTAATGAATTGTTAAAATAAAATGTGGTATATCCATTCAATGGAATGGTACTTGTCCATAAAAAGGAATAAAGTACTCGTACATGCTGAAAGCGGTATGCTTTGTGAAAGAAGTCAAACACAAAAAGACCATATATTGTATGATTTTATTTGTGAGAATTATCCAGAATAGGCAAATCTGTAGAGAGATTTAGTATTTTCCTAGTGCTGGTGTGGCACTAAGAGATTGAGGGTATGATAAGAGATAATGGGGTATCCTTTTGCAATGATCAAAGTATTATAAACTTGATTGAGGGTTGATGATTATATAGCTTTGAATTATAGTAAACAATGAATTGTACACTTTAAACTACATATAGATTGTATGATATATGAATTATGTTTCAATAAAATTGTTACATACAAACCCACACACAAAAGAATGTTCAGTTGTGTCTTTATTCATGGCGACTCACAAATGTCCATCAGTGGAAGAATGGATAGTCAAATTACGATATATTCCTACCATGAACATTATTATTAAGGAATACAAGGGAACAGGCTGTTGAATGAGTCAAAAATATAATGAGAAAAAAGTTAGACATGAGGAAATACATCATTATATCATTTAGTTAGGCAAATTAGAGTCAGAGACATGGCCTCTAGTCTGACTGATACTGTGGAGCTGAAATTGAGACTCTGTTTCATGGTTCAGAAACCTCAAAGAACTTGAACTTTTCTGTTACTGAACAAGTAATTTAAAAAGTCTGTCTGGTGGCCTTGCATAGAGAAACAAAAGGAATCTTAGCTGTTACAGTTTATTAGATAAGGTTAAAAAAAAAACTTTACTAAATCAGTGGCTTACATCTGCACCATATGTAAGTATGGGGATCTGAATTTGCACTATATATTTGATACATAATCTCAAACTAAGAAATTATCCCAGTTAAGAATTAGTATAAGCAAATTCTAACTAAGCCTCTAGAGTTGATGAGACTCCTTAGAAAACAACCTTTACAAGTTGGGTGCTGTGGTACATGCCTGTAATCCATGCAACTGGAAAGGCTGAGGCAGGAGTATTACAAATTCAACCTTAAGAATTTAGCAAGGCCCTAAACAATGTAGTGAGACCCTGTCTTAAAAGAAAAAATAAAAAGGACTTGGGGATGTGGCTCAGTGGTTAAGCACCCTTGAGTTCGGTTCCTGGAACTCCTCCTTCCCCCTAAACAAAAACCTTTCCTGAAAATATACTTATAAACCATCCTAGAACAATCATACCTCCTTAACAAGGACTTGGTACACACAACAAACAAGAAGAATATATTAAAATATAGAAATAGTATTGTGGTCTGGAAATATAATGTTTAAAATAAATGGAGGTCATTCAAAACCTAATTTAGGCATGTATTCAGACACAAAATAGTCATAGATAAACATGTACTCATATCCAAATGACACTGCCACACTGTGTTCGATCAGATGGGAAATGGGAGTTCCATGGCTATTGAATGATTTTTGGAAACTCTATACTATAATTTAGTGAGCTCTTAATAACGCACTTTAATGTCATAATCTTCTTGAATTATTTCTGACTAGCAGATTACCAAATTAGTTATGGAAGGGCAAGTTTGGTGATAACGTCTTAAAATTACAATTTGGACAGAGTATGAGTGGAGTTTACCAGGTGTTTTTTCTTCAACTCGTCTCCCTTAACTGAGTTTCAAACAAAGTGCAGGCTAGTCTTTTAAAGCATACGTTCTCCAAGCAACTCATTAAGTGGGAATTACTGGTAGCAAAGGGAGTACAGTATTTTTACTGAGGTTTCTTTTGGTTATGAAATGATGGTAAACTTGGTTGTAACTGTCTCCTTTTGAAACATTGAAAATTTACTGCTGTTGATTCTCACATTGGGCAAATGATATATAATGTTTTATTATTTTTTGTTGTAGATATGAAACATTTGAACACATTTTGTTTTGAAAAAAATCTGTTTCTGTGTGTACTGTTATCCTGATTTATTATTTGTAGTAAATTTATTTCCTTTGCTAAATGTAAATTCCTTTTCTTTGGATTTAGATATCCAATTTAGGGAATTACAGTGAGATTAAAAAATACTCTGCAAACCTCTTTGAATTACTTTTCCTCTGTTTAATCCATTAAATTCAAGCTTTTAATTTTGTGAATATTTCAATGAAATTGACATAGGTATATTGAAAATAGATTAGAAATCATAAACCTGAGTTTATTATTTTATATTACATTATAACTATATTCTTATAAGATATAAACATGCTGTATTTAAATTTTTATAGGTGTTCGAAATCTGGGATGATGAGACAAAAGTGGGTTAATCTTTAAAATGATTCTGTCTTGAGAACTATTTGTAGATTATTACTTTGTATCTAATTCCTAATTATACAATAAAGAGCACTAATGGAACTTTTACTTATTTGTGTTATGTAATTTACCCGTTTTTTAAATTATGCACTTTTGTTTTTTAAAGGCAAGGCTATTTAAATTTGGACATTATGCCCTAACACTAGAAATGATCTTTGAATAAATGGTGAACAGTTCTCCCAAAGCCTGGAAACCCTTCTCTTTTAAATCCATTTATTGCTAATATTTACAGCACTAGTCCCCCCTTTTATTGTTAGTGTGACTTACTGTTTAAATAGCACTGATTTGAGGTTTTGGTCTTTATTTGAATGTGCTCTTTTCCCTTTCCTTTGGGTTGCTGATTTCTGCCTCACTTTCCTAAGAATTGGTGGTAATCTATAATTTCTCCAGCTTTATATTCAGATTTATAAATTCAAAAATCCTACTGGTTTTCCCTGCTCTGTGGTGCTTTTCTTCACACTTTAAATCACTGTACACTTGTTGGAATTTCTACAAGTGTGGCTAATTATAGGATTTGTGAAAGAATTGTTTCAATGTTTAGGAAATTGTTCTGGGTATATTTCTCTTTGTGGGTTTCATCAGTGTTGCCAACTATATGGTAATGATATTTCAGACCCAATAAAAGTGAGTCTATTTAAAAAATGGTTTACTAATATACAAATTGTTTTTTTTAAACACTATAAAGATTTAATGCAATTCCACTCAAAATCCCAATGACATTTTTTTCTTTTTTTTTAAAATTAGTATACATGACAGTACAATGATCTTATCATATCATACATTTGAATCAGATGGGGTATAATTTCTCATTTTTCTCAGTGTACAGGTTGCAGAATCACATTGGTCATGCATGCAGTCATGTATATTCATACAGCAATAATTCCTTTGTAGGTTGGTAGTTTTCTGTAGGGATGTACCTTGAATTCTTTCTATTGATGTTTGTATGTCTGGCTTACTTGGCTTTGTGGTTACCTTGAGGTTTACAAAAAACACCTTTTCACAGGCAATTACAGGCTAATAACAACTGATCACATACAACTCTACACTTACATCACCCCCTCCAATTTTAAGTTTTAGATATCAAAATTTGCACCACTTTAAAATTTGTATTTCCCCAAATTTTTTAATTCTAGTTGTTTTAATAGATTTTTCTATTAATCCTAATGCTAGAGATAAATAGATTCATGCACCATCATTTTAGACCAGAGTATTCTGCATATGACTCTGTTGCTTATAGCACAGAGCTTTCTGCTTTCGTATGTTTTATGCTACTATTAATGACATGTTGATGCAGTTTAAAGAACTCCCTCACCAGACACACAATCTATTGGAGACTTGATCTGGACTTTTCAGCATCCAGAACTGTGAGCAACTAATTTCTGCAATTTATAAATTATCCAGTGTATATGTTTTTTTTTTTTTTTAACAGTGGGATCCTAATGTTTTCTTTTTTTTTTTTTTAATTTTTTATTGTTGGTTGTTCAAAACATTACATAGTTCTTGACATATCATATTTCACACTTTGATTCAAGTGGGTTATGAACTCCCATTTTTACCCCGTATACAGATTGCAGAATCATATCAGTTACACATCCATTGATTTACATGTTGCCATACTAGTGTCTGTTGTATGTTTTTGATATGTCTTTAGAATTTTAGTTTAGAAATTTTTAGTGTGGTATTAACTCACAGTACTTTGAGTAGTAAAAAAAAAAAAAGGACAGTTTGAATACCTGAAAAGAACCCTAATAATAATAGAAAAAAGTTACATAGATGATAAATGATAAAGCAAAATAAAACCTTTATTTTTCTTGATTATTTGTTTGTAATTTCCATAAATTAACTGGAAAAATTCTTTACATTTAGCCTCTATATTCAATACTTTTTTTTACACTTTTAAAATAGTTGGCAGCATTGTCCTTGATTCTCTATTGGTTTGGGCTTACTTAATTGTCTTTTTCTTTTCTCTTTTTTTTCCCCCTTTTGCTTCCTAAGGACATGATGATACAGCGCCATGTGCGGTTTTGAAAAGTATGGATAGTTTTAGCTTTCTTCAACACCCAGTCCACCAGAGGAGCTTAGAGATTCTGCAGAGGTGCAAGGAAGAGAAGTACAGTAAGGCTGCAAATCCTGATAAACTCTGTGTTGTCACATAGCCATTTGGAAATGGAAACCAAGAGCATTCTACACCAGGTGGAACAGATTGCACAGGCAACATGACTTCCATAATCTTTTGAGCAGTCTCAGGATAGTTCCCGAGACTTCACTGTTTTGCTGGAAGTGCTGAGATACCTGTTCACTTGGTGATTCAAAGTGCCAAGATACCTGTTTTCTTTTCTTTCTTTTCTTTTTTTTAAGAATTTTAATATTTATTTTCTTAGTTTTTGGCGGACACAACATCTTTGTTTGTGATACCTGTTTTCTTAACTTGGTGATTGTCCTATTTGCCAGTGATTATTGAGTTAATTATACTTGGTCACAGTTACTGAATTGGTTTTCATTTTTTTCTTTCAAGTAGTTGAGTGATGGGTAAAAATAAACAATGCTTTTTTTTTTTTTTTAAACCTTCCTTATTTAAAAAAAAATAATCCTTATTGGGATATCACTGAAGTAAAATAACCTGCATGAAAGAACACAATTTGGTAAGTCTTAACACATGCAGGCAGTCATCAAATTATCACCATAATCTTGATGGCCAACATTTCCAAGTTCCTTAAACTCCTTTCTGAATCTGGCTCATTTTTATGCTTGCTTATGCTTGATTTCCAAGATTAGCAATGTTGGTAAATTTGTTTAGGTCCATTGAGGACCTCCAATCAGACCTTCTTTTATCTGATTTAGAGCAAAGCTACCACACTGACGTTTCAGCATAAAGAAGATTAACAGAACCATGGGATATGTTCTTTTTGTTTGCTTTTTATAAAACTGGTGTAAAAGATGCGCTTTGTCCCCATTTCCTCTTTTGCTTTTTATTTGGTATACTCATTGTGAATGATAATTTGTTATTTTGCTTGTTGTGAGATTATAGTTATTAGTCTGTTGCTATTGTGAGAACAAATGGATCCTTCAGAATATTCAAAACTTACCTCAGTAATTTGTGTATAGTGGACTGAATTTACTTACATAATTGTTTCTGAACTTTTAATAATTTGCTACAGGGTTAGTTTGCTAATTTCAGTTTTCTGATTGAAATTCCCTTGAAATTTTAGTATCATCTGGTGTCAGCAAAGGAAAATATAAGTAGAATTCCTAAAAGCACATGTTATGAGTACCTTTTTTTTCAGTTTCTCTTACATACACTGAATTGGTATAAGAAAATGTGTAATGTATTATTAGAAAGCAATATGAAAAATATTTTCCCATTTTAGAAAGAACAAAGGTAAGTATTTCATTTAAAAAAGATGTGTTTAAAAATTATTCATAATTATTGCTCTTGTTTCTAAAAGGTATACAAATGTTCTCATTCCAGTTTTCTATCTTGCTATTCTAAATCTTTTAATACATGGGACATTGTTTAAAACAGACTACAGATCTTTGTGGTGGAGCTTAGATTAATTCTTTTTTAAGTAGTTTCAAATAATTTATTTGCTATGGTTTTTCATGACTCAGCTTGACAACTGAGGCCTTTCCATATTCTCATTTACTAGAGTATATTCTAATATACTAGGCTAGGAAGGCATCAGCTTCCAGTAGGCTACCTAAAGAAATTATGCATTTGTATGTGTTTACATGCAAATTTATCCACTTTAGTATTAGGCAATAATTGCAATTTTAGTATATAAAATCATAAATTCAAGTTTGGATGATTGCTCTTTAAAAAAGAGTAGGGGACTACCAGCTTTAAGAAATTGTGAATTGGTAAAGCAAGTGAACCCTCCCACAGGGAACAGTGATAAAACCTGGAAAAAAAATTTAACCAACTATTTGAAAGTATTGGAAAAACATCAAAAGGAGGCAGAAAGCAAAGACTTTCTTAAAGTACATAAAACAATAGATAAAAATTGTCAATCTGTAGCTTTTTGCACAAAGGGTTCCCTAACTCTCATAGCTCTTGAAACAGGGAACCACAACTATATTGGTTTGAGATGAAGACTATCATCTGGAAATTTAGGAGGACAGTAGATTATAACTCTTCCCACATCCCTGACTAACTGCTGCAGAGTATGCAGGGAAGACCTAGGAACTCTTACCACAATCAGGAGATAATTCTTGAAAGACTGATGATAGTGGGTCACGTATTTATAGTAGTAGAGGTTGGTAAACTTTTTCAGCAAAAGACCAGATAATAAATATTTTAGACTTTGTGGACCATAAGGTTTCCGTCGAACTACTCAGCTTTGAGTGAATGGAGCCATAGATTACATATAAATAAATGAGTGTGGCTATGTTCCAATAAAACTTTATTATGGACACTGATAATTTAAATTTTGTATAATTTTCACATTATAAAAATATTATTATTTTATTCTTAATCATTTAAAAGTCTAAAAACCATTTTTAATTCATAGGCCATACAAGGTAGGTGGGGGATTTGATTTAGGCTGTATATCTAGTTTGCTGATTTGTATATTATTGGAGGGAATGAGTAAGCTAGAAGATGTATACTAAATTAAATGACAAAGTTTCTTTCCTTCTCTTAATTTCTTTTAAAAGATTTGGCGGTTTAAAGTATAAATTATGGCACTGTTTTGGTGGTTTAAAATGTGTCCACCAATTCTTTGATTCTCCTCCCTTTAAGAGGCATGTGCCATACTTAGTGACTTGCTTCTAACAAATGGAATGTGGCAGAAGTGACAATATGTGGCCTTCAAGATTAAAACATAAAAGGTATTGTGGCTCTTATTCTTTTCAGTTTTGGTGCTCCTCCCTGCTCTCTGCAGGGGGGAGTCTTTGAGATTTGACAGACAGGAAATTAGAAGACAGGGGAGTAATTGAGGCTCCTAGGAACTTGAGCTGTGGTTTCAGTTTCAGGAACCCTGGAAAGGAGAAGTAATCCAATAAGAGGAAGAAGAAATAGAGTAGAATAAATAGAACAGTTGAATCTCATTTATATTTGCACCCATATTTCTGGCCTTCAGTCCAACCTTGTGAAAATTGAGAATATGTTGATCAACAAGATGAAACATCAGCAGTTTCCAGACAAAGGTTATGAGCTTTCTTCATCTCATTACTTTCACCTGTTGACAGAGCCTAGCTGGATGTCTTGGCCTCAGACATTAGTATGGTAACACAAATGATTGAAAATTAAAAGTTTATTGTCTGATGAAAATTGATGAAAACCACTAACAAAAAGGTATCTGGTAACCTCTTACCCTCATATATTTGGAAAAGAAACAAAATGTGTAATTCCTGATTTAAAGCAAAATTCATTAGGACAACTTGAAAGTATTTTGATCTGAGTAATTTTGGAAACAAAACATGTTAAAATGTATGAGTGTATCCAAAGCAGTGCTTAGAAAAAAAATTATAGTTAAAAAAATGAATATTATCCACTTTAAGAACCTAGAGAAAAAAGAACATGTCAGGCGCCAAAGAAATATAATAAAGTAAATAAAGTTGAGAGCTAAAAATCAGTGACGTAGAAAACAGGTTAACAATAGGAAAAAAGTCAATGAAACCTAAAGGTGTTATTTTTTTTTAAATGAGCAATGAAATTGATAAACCTACCCCAGCACTGTCCAATAGAACTTTCTGTGATGTTAGAAAAGTTCTCTAACTTCACTAAACTAGACTGTTGCCACTAGCCACATGTGGCTCTTAAGAACCTAAAATATAGGGTTGGGTTGTAGCTCGGTGGTGGAGTACTTACCTAGCACATGGGAGTCACTGGGTTTGAAATGTGGCTGGTACATTTGAAACTGAAGTTTTAATTTTATTTAATGAATTTAAACTTACACAGTCACGTATAGTGTCTGTTTCATTGGACAGTGCAATATCAGAAGACAGAAAGCTATTATCTGGAATGAAAGAGTAAAGACAATTACATATCCTATCAATGTCAAAAGTTTGAGGGGGAGATTATGTACACTTACGTCAATAAATTAAACAACTTTTGTGAAATGGATAAATTCCTTGGTTGTAAACAATACCAAAATTGATCCAAGGAAACAGGAAACCCAAAGAATCTTTTATCTGTTAATGATATGGAATTCATAATTAAAATCTTTGCCATATATAAACACAAATTCAGGCCCTGATAAATCAAGAGTGAAAGAAATAATTTGCCAGCTCTCAACCCCTTCAGGTTATAGAGGATCAGGGAACACAATCCAAATCATATTTTGAGGTCAGTATTCTTTGCTACCAAAACATGACTTTATGATGATGGATATAAAAATCTTGAATTATATAAGAAAGCACCAAATTCAGCAGTATATTAAAGGATCATATGTGAGGATCAAATTAAATTTATTCCAGGAATAAAAGATAGTATTGACAATAGTGTTAGCATTTATGATAAACTGAGTTAGTCAACTTTTAGCAATAAGAGATTTATTTGGCTCACAGATTTAGAGGTTCCTGTCCATGATTGGTTGTCCCTATTGCTTTGGGCAAGTTAGATGGTGGGGATATATAACAGAGCAGAACTGCTTGCCTGATGGATGAAAGTGATCTAGGGAAGAGTAAGAGACTGAGATCTCAGAATCCCTTTTGAGGACACATACCCAATGATCCAAATATCCCCCATTAGGCCCAAGTTCTTAAAGTTTTCAACACCTCTCAGTAATACCAAGCCAGGGATCAAATGTCTTGACACTTGGGCCTTTGGGAGACACTCAAAATTTAAACCATAGCAACAATCAAATCAATTAATAGTGTTGACCACCTAAAAAAGAACAAGCATATGATCATTTTATTAGCTAGAGAAAAAGAGTTTGTCATAATTCCATTTTTAAAAACCCTTTTAACATTTCAGGAGTAGAAAGCATCTTGTTCATTTTATAAAAGATATGTATGAAAATCTTGTAGAAAACTTTTCCCCTAATTTTAAGAGTATAGCCAGGGACATCTGCTTTTGCTACTCAGAACATTCTATTGAAGGTCATCAGCAGAGCAATAAGGCAACAAAAAGAAATAAAAGGTATAGAAGTTAAAAGAGAGGGAGTGGACAATAT